TTATTTATTAAATAAATGCATAAAATTTTTATTAGTCTGCATGTTTTGTGATTAATCGCTAATTATATCATTCCATCAATACCTTCTATACTTCTGATATATTTTAATTATTAAATCGTTAAAAATTGTTTTTAATTTAATAATTCATTTTTAATTTTTAATCGTTAAAAATTCATAATTATTAATTAAAAAGTCCCATCACTAATCATAACATGATCGAATAACAAATAGAGTGATTATCTATTTAAACGCGTGGTCACGTGATAGATAATAGATAAAATTCTGAAATTACTAATTGCCGCTATCTTATAAACCTGAGCCCTGCGGTGATATTTTTGTGAATCAGAGCTTCGAGATGTCTTTCTCCAAGGGTTTCGTTTTTCGTTGGGGGTTTCACCTTTCTCCGAGAGCTTTATCTTCCGTCATGGGTTTTGCCTTTCGACGAGAGTTTCACCTTTCGTCGAGGATTTCACCTTTCGTTAGAGAGTTGCCATTTACAAAAGTGGATTCGTCTAATAGATATATTCAAAACTTTCGCCAGGCTTTGAACATTTTGCCAGATTTCGCTAGTCCTGGAAAAATCAAAAGTTTTCGTTTCGTCAGCAATATTAGTCGCCTTATGATAACTTTTACATGTAAAATTTGTTCACTTCGTTCAACAAAGGTGATGTCTAAACAAGCATATAACCATGGTGTGGTTATAATTCAATGCTCTTCATGTAAAAACCATCATTTAATAGCAGATAATTTGGGATGGTTTCGTGATAAGAAAGTTAATATTGAAGACTTGATGTTAGAACGAGGTGAAAAGGTTTTAAAATATGTGCACGAAGATGGAACAGATATATACGAATGCTCTCCAGATGTTCTTCAAAAAGAAATTAAATATCTTAGCGGAGGACCTAATCAAGTGACAGGGAAAGAGAAATAAAATACAGCATGCAAAAAATATCCAGTATATCTGATACAGTATAATATTTTATATTATATATATTAAGAAATATTTTTAATAAAATTATATATATAATGAAATCGGATTAAAATGAAACTGGCGACCTTTCTTGCTCATCTTTAAAGCTTATAAAACCCACTTATACTCTTATTAATAAAACTAACACTAAATCCTAACTCTAATCCTAAGCCTAACCCTAAAAAATGTTTTCAAAAAATTTTAAATTTTTCTAAAAAAATAGAAAAATCTAATTTCATATTAATCTGCCACAATTAATACTTATATACAGTATATTAGATATATATATCTTATTTTATTTTAACTAGCATATAACCCGTCGCTTTGCTCCGGATTTAAGAAATAATGATAAGTATAGAGTTAATATATACTATAGTTGCTATAGTAGTAAGTAATTTCAAACATGAACCTGTGGATGCTATACATAAAGACAATCTTTTTTGTTTAAATAAAGAAAAAAGTAAATAATTGCAAAGATAAAAATACTTATATCTCATGATTTACTGAGCCAATTTTTAATGTTTTAACTACCATTCTGTTTCCAAGACACTTTACTTAGGCGTTGAAAAGAGGTTTACTTAGTAAAGAAAAATTTTTTTTCTTTGAGAAACTTCAAAGTTAAAAAGTTTCTTTTAT